TAGGAACTAACTATGGTAAAGAGAATGACTATTTAATACTACATGTATTAACAGCTGCAAGAATAGTATTTGCCCAGTTTTGGAAAAATGAAAATCTACCATCTGACCAGACTATAATTTCGAAAATTTTGGACTGTGCAGAAATGGATAGATTAACATTGGAGATGAAGGAGAAAGAAGATTCAATTTATTTCAAAACTTGGGAAAATTTTATCGATGGTTAGAAATACGCTAGAATACGATCAGAACTTAAAATTGAATTGAATCTTAAAATTGAATAGAATGATAGACTCTTAATTAAGTGTTATTTCTTAGATTAATAATAGTTTATCATTAGTGATTTTAAATATCAATGGTGATGACTAGAATTCGTTGATATGTTATTAAGTATGAATATTCATTTAGAGGAATTTTACTTACCTATCTAATTTTAGTTATATGATTATAGTTAATTTTATCTTTATAAAATTAACTATTCTTCATTACAGAAAATATCTTAATTCCTGTTTTTGTTTTTGTTTTCAGATAAATGTGGTATTCCATCCCAACCATAATAAAGCCAGATGTTCTTACCTTCAAGCGTTTCTCCTTGTTTAGAAAGAGCCTCTCCTGCTCCAGATGCATAAAGAGCAGTTACTGACAAATCATATTTTGTCCCTGGTTCCAAGTTAGTAAGATCTGTACTGGTAGTGTCTCCCCTTACGGTTATCTCTTTAGGTTCACCTCCAATCACTGGAGTATACGTAACAAGATACTGTTGCACTTTGCCAGGTGCTGAATTCCAAGATAGTTTCAATGAGGATGTTGTAGCATCTGAAACTTTCAAGTCTCTTGGTCTTCCAAGCACTATATAGGATAAATTAAAAAAGAAAAAACCTTAGGAGCAAACCAACAAAAACATTCCAAGAACCATTTTCTATCTTTAAGTTCTGTGAAATAGTGGTGAATATCAATGGTGATGACTAGAATTCGTTGATATGTTATTAAGTATGAATATTCATTTAGAGGAATTTTACTTACCTATCTAATTTTAGTTATATGATTATAGTTAATTTTATCTTTATAAAATTAACTATTCTTCATTACAGAAAATATCTTAATTCCTGTTTTTGTTTTTCTTTTCAGATAAATGTGGTATTCCATCCCAACCATAATAAAGCCAGATGTTCTTACCTTCAAGCGTTTCTCCTTGTTTAGAAAGAGCCTCTCCTGCTCCAGATGCATAAAGAGCAGTTACTGACAAATCATATTTTGTCCCTGGTTCCAAGTTAGTGAGATCTGTACTGGTAGTGTCTCCCCTTACGGTTATCTCTTTAGGTTCACCTCCAATCACTGGAGTATACGTGACAAGATACTGTTGCACTTTGCCAGGTGCTGAATTCCAAGATAGTTTCAATGAGGATGTTGTAGCATCTGAAACTTTCAAGTCTCTTGGTCTTCCAAGCACTATATAGGATAAATTAAAAAAGAAAAAACTTTAGGAGCAAACCAACAAAAACATTCCAAGAACCATTTTCTATCTTTAAGTTCTGTGAAATAGTGGTGAAATAAATTACTATGACACTATTGTTTTTTTGTAATACAATTAAACCTTTATTTAGTGAACTAATTGGATGGGTGGGGAAACCACTATTCCCAAATGTTTTAAATCCAAGTCAGTCATCTGCATTAATTGACATCATTTGTATAATAAGGTCATTACACAAACACATACATTGATGTGTGATGTTCATTTGTATCATTTGCATAAAGAGCTCATCACTGCAGGCATGTTAAAATATAGAAAAGGTGAAAATTAAGATACATTTAAATGTTTCATCTGGACTTTTCTATTATTTTAGATAGAATTACCAAATGGAAATTTGGTCCATTGTATCTGAAGTTTTTAAATGGGGTCTGCTAAATCAAGTTTTCCCAGATAAGCAAGAGATACCAGATAACGCTGGTATTTAGTGTCAGACAAACAACACAGTATTACATGAAAACCATAGCTGTCTATCTTAAGTATGGAATTAGGGCATGGGACATCATGACACAAACTCCAACTCTTCTGTACTTGTGTGCAGTGTCACAACGCAAGTGCACAAGGGAAAGTTTCATTATTTTGACATCATTGTGCCTAGGGAATAAATCTCTATGCTGAAAGCTGCAGTTTTAGGGAGAAAGAAGATAAGAAATAGGGATCTGCTTGGCCACTGGAATGAAATTTAAGAGATACAGATATATATTATTGCTAAAAAGAAGTGTGCCTCTACAAAGAACCTGGATTCAGAGATTGGTAAAGACATGTAGATATTTGTGCCTTAATATGCAGTAATTAACATACTCAAGATGAGACATGTCAAAGCAATTATTCTGCATGCTGCCAATGAACCAGTGAGATGTATCATAGCTCCCTATTACAATGAAGATAGGCTAGTAGACTTTTATTGCTATATCCTATATTAAAATGCATTTGGCTGCAAAAGCAGGATGTACCTTCTTCAGTTTTCCCATGTCCATCCAATGGATTTCCAACTCCAGACAAGTACTCAGCAGTTAAGGAAACTTCATATGTTGTATCAGGCATCAGATTATGTAGAGTGGTTGCCCTTTCATTTGCTGGGATGGTTACTTCTCTTGTTTCCCCACCAGTAACTGGTCTATATGCAAGTCTGTATCTGAGAACATTCCCTGGGGCTGGTGACCATCCAACTTTAAAACTATCCGTTGTTTCATCAGTTACTCTCAGGTTTCGTGGAGATCCTATGACTAAAAATATTTTTTCCAAAAAGCATAAATATTAGCCCTATGTTTTAATTCATCTCAAAATAAATATACAAATACAATCTTGCTAGGTTATATGATTGTATAGTTCTGTTCATGCTTTAACACTTTTTGTCAGCGCTATCTAATATGGACAGTACCCAACTATAGAATTACCTTCCCATGGAAGTTTAATTGGGGCTGTATCCAAAACTGCTTATTTGCCCAGGAATTTTACACTGATCAGTTATACAACAAAGAATACCTACTACATGCTAGACATGAGGAAAAAAGAATGGATTGATTAAAGACTTTATAGCATTCTAAAAACCTAATAGTAAGATATATAAAGAGTTTAACAAAAATATCAGCATGCAGAACTAATAAGATATAAATGATGAAGAGGAGTGAATGTTCTGATAAAAATTTAATGTAAAATAGTTTCTGTTATCACATGGGGTTATTTTTCAAATTATCCTTATATGTTCTATAGTCCTGTAAATGTTAAATTGCTTTATCATAAACGATGCCCAAATACACACACAGAGACACACACAAAAACAGGTAACAAGTGAAATGTGTATCTTTAAAATAAGAAATTATACCCAAGAATTTTAAATATATGATATTAGGATCGTAATCCTCTTCTTTCTATTCACAGTCTAAATTAAAAATTTATCATTGTATGCATATTTATTTTATTGAGAAATGCATTTACTTCAAATAAATGCAGTTTCCTTGAAATAAATACATTATATATTGTTCTGTGCCTGTCTTCTGTTCATAAGGCAATGGGAAAGTTTGCTGCCATTTCTCATTTAACAATATATTTCTCCTCATATGACCTGTTAGCTATTATGTGGACATAATAAAATTGGATTCATACATAATTAACTTTAAACTGCTGGTTTTGTTCAGGAGCAACCACTTTAATTTGGTAACAAACATTTGGATCTTTATATTAGGGTTAAAAGAGAAGAACAGAATCAAGGCAATAGGAATGATACCTTCTAAAGTTGTTTCATTCCCATTCAGTGGAGGTCCATCACCATCTTCATATTCTGCGATCACACTGACAGAATATGTAGTTTTTGGTAGTAAATTAGTAAGGATTGTGTTAGTCACTGGAGCACGTACAGAAACACTGACTTCCTCTCCACCAAGAGCCTCTTTATACTTGATAAGGTAAAACAAAACATTTTCTCCTGCTGGAGACCAGGTAACTTTGAAACTGTTAGAAGTCACTTCAGAAAATTCCAAGTTCCTTGCAGGTAAACGAGCTGTTAAAAAATAACAGTTTAGTAAGCAAAGCACGGTTAGATAAATGTTTTAAATTCCAGTGAGGAAAATCTTGATTTCTTTATGTAGTAAAGTCTATATGGGGAAAAATGTGATTTCTCTATGCAGTAAAGACTTGTTGAGCTTGCTTGTTGCTTGCTAAGTTACCCATACCTTAAATAAAAACATATATCTGAGTAATCTTACTCTAAAAAAATAGGATTTTTTTTCTAGCTAGTATGCTTCATATATACTAACTAGACAATAACAACAGCATGATCCTTGACCAGTGAAAACACAAAAACAAAGAATTACATTAAAGCAAATATCAGCTAAAACTCAGTTAAAACACAAACTACTGGACATAATACACTAATGCCAGAGATCCCCATTTAATAGCCCACTCATTGCCTGGAGGAAAAGCCAAATCTTCATAATCATCTACATTGGCTTAAGTACCTATTAAAAAAGAGATGAGGTATTCAATAACTTTAACCAACTGATATACAGACTTCGGAAATATTCCATTCAATTTTTCAAGAAAAGAAGACAGAGTACAGTAATATTTATTGTGGAAGAGGCACAACATACTCTACTTAAATAAATAGCAGCAAGCCCATTCCCACCCCACAAAAATCCAATTCTTTGAAACCAACGGTATCCCAGTAATGAAGAATCAAACCAGCTAGCACAGTGCTAATATGAGTCTATACCAGCAGTTCTCAACCTATGGGTCGCGACCCCATTTGGGGTCGATCGACCATTTCACGGGGGTCACCAAGCAAGGCTGTCCGCCATTTTTTTCCCCTTTTCCGGCGGGTGGCCTTACCTCCCTTGGGCTGGGCCAGCTGGTGGTCGGCCTGCTCTGTCTCTGCCGCTTGCCAGCTACGCCTCAGCCAGCGCAGGGGGCGGAACCACGCATGCGTGGCGCTCCCGGGCAGGGAAAGTCCTCGACTTACGACCAGTTGGGTAGTCCTCGACTTACGACCGGTTTAGTCCTCGACTTACGACCGGTTTAGTCCTTGACTTACAACCGGTTGGGGGTCGTGGCATTAAAAAGGTTGAGAACCACTGGTTTATACCATTCTGATCTCAACTCAAAGCAGATAATAGCTTAAAATAGTTGCAATTTAATTGGAGAAGGAGGCCATGGTGAAGAGTTCTGTTTCTTTCATTTGCACATCTCTATCTAGTATCTGAAGTTTATCCAACTCTTTTTGGGAAAAGCATTGGGCAGGCAACAAACAAAGGAGCTGAGAATCAGGAAAACTCTAATCCAGAGCCTGCTGTACTGTCACCTGGCTAGGTGACTTTGGTAACTAAGCCTGTAGATTGTAGAATAACAAAGTTGAAAGGAGCATTTAGGGCACCAAGTCCAACCCTTTATTCAGTGCCAAGGATAAAATTTAAAGCATTTCCAATAGTTGGCTGACTACTCTGTACATGAACACCTAGAGGGGAAGGTGAGCAGATTACTTCACTGAGTGAATACTTTCACTGTCAAACTATTCCGAGTGCCTTCTAGAAACTTAAAACATAATACTCCACACCCTGCCCTCTGGAACATAAAGAACAGGTATAGAGGTATTTACTTTCTTTTGTGTGATATGCCTTCCAGAATTTAGAGGGTGCTGCTATATTCCCTTCTCACACGCAGTCTTCTTTTTTCAAGACTAAGCACCCCAAGCTCCTTCAGTTTTTTTCTGTCTCCTGATAATTCTCCTTACCTTTCTGAACCCCATTTCATTTTCCTTGAATGTTTAAAGTGGAGTGCCCAGAATTAGGCAAAATACCCAAACAGAGGTTTGGCCAAAGTAGAATAAAATATAATGATTGTAACCTATCAATTGAAAGCTATACTTTAGCGGAGGCAACCTGAAACTGCATTTGTCTTTTGGCTGTCGGTTCACACCACAGACGTCACAACTACTGCACAGGCTACATTAATAACAACTTATGTATTTATTTCACTTATATGTCTCCAAATCAACCATAGACTCATGCTGCTTTATAATAACAATCAGCAATAAAAACAGCCAGAGAACAGAACCAAAGTTAAAACATCCACAATAAAGTATAAAATAAAAACAGAACTAACCTACTTATCAAAATGCAAAAAATGCCCAAATATAATAAAAATACCAATTTTAATACTACTTAAACTCTATCTTCATTGTCAAAATCACCATCAGTCAATTGCAAAAGGCAGTTTTACTTGGAACAGCTTCCATCCTGCAATGATATCTTTATTTAATACCAACAAACATCCACCATGTCTATCTTAGCTCTTTGAAAAGAACTCAACAGGTGGATAAAAATGCCAAATCCAGTCTAAACATCTGACTAGGCAACGAACCAATAATAATAATTTACTTGGAACAGCATACATTAAATTAAAATTAAAAATTATTCTATTTGTTTTTGCTAAAGATAGTTATCTTGGATCCTATTAAATCTCCATCATGGAGAGGGCTCTTCCACTCATAGGACATTCCTTCTAATTGAAGGGAAATAATATAAACTGACTTTCCCAAACTGAGCCTTTTAGGTATGTCAGACTAGAGCAGGGATAGGCAACCTTGGCTCTTTTATGACTCATGGACTTCAACTCCCAGAATTCCTGAGCCAGCATGTAGAACCAGTCACACAAAGAACTAGAGTATATAGTTTAGTCCAAGGGTAGACTATGTTGGCTCAGGAATTCTGGGAGTTGAAGTTCACGAGTCATAAAAGAGCCAAGGTTGCCTACCCCTGGACTAGAGCTAACATACCGAAATTAGTTCCCGCTGGTTTCTATGGCAAAGATCCACTGAGTTAAAAAAGCATGCTTTTTTTTTTTGCACATGAACAGGCAAAGTGGAGAATTTGACACTTGTATACACAATCCAATTCTATGTAGGAATAGGCGTTCAAATCTCATCTTCTTCAAGGAGGCATCAAGCAGCCGCAAGGAGGCCTTGCAAATGGCAGTAGCTGCCTCACTCTGGCACCCCTCATCCGCAGTGAGAGGAAGGAGATGGCAAAGGTCAGCTGGGGTGGGGTCGGAGGCAGAATGCAGGCCAGCCAAGGGGGTTGGGGTGACAGAGATATAGTCAGGTTGGAGGAGATGAAATGCACGCTGTGTTTACAAATGCAGTCAGGCTGCCAAGCGCCCAAATTTTGATCACTTGACCATAGAAACACTGCAGCAGATTTGACTTCAGGGGCCAGCCGTAACTACCATTTGTTCAATGTAGGTTGCTCTATTAATTTTTTTCCCCTTTCCCTTTCCTTGCTTAATTTCTGACTCTTTTAAATGATACCACTCAATATTTCAAAAACATTACTGGCTGAAATAGAATGTTTTCCCCATTTTTATTTATGGAGTGGGTTAATTATTTGTATCAAAGAGTGGTTTAGAACATAACATTTACTCCCTCGTTTCCTGGTCATTCAATGATAACAGAGAACGTCCATTGTCAATCATCATGGCTATCCATAATCTAGTGGTGTCCCATGATTTAACCCTTCCTGTGAAAGCTTCTATCCTTTCACTACAAACACACATAGTCCTGCTTTTCACGTCCATATTATGTAACTCCTCCCTGTATTGGTTGGGAACATATATGATTGCACATAGTAATTTTCACCATAGCTCCATATGGCTTTTATCTGGCAATGACTTTCACCCATTGCTAGAAAAAGAAACAAACCTAAAACAAGACATGTGTTATTTTAGAAGGTTTTAGAACCTGCTTCCAGGAGTGGTGAATGCTCCAACACTGGAAGTTTTTAAGAAGAGACTGGACAGCCATTTGTCTGAAATGGTATAGGGTTTCCTGCCTGAGCAGGGGGTTGGACTAGATGACCTCCAAGGTCCCTTCCAACTTTTTTATTATTACTACTACTACTACTATTATTATCAAAGGAACATGATCAGAAGTCACTGCCAGAAAGTGCCTTAAACTTTAAACAAAACGTTGGTGTGCTATATAGGGATGTGGAAAGTATCCAATACATATGATCAAATCATGTTCACAACAGTCCATAAACCGTGCTTTAAGTGGTCATTTCCCTTAGAGTAGTAGTAAATCATATTGCTATTATCTGAAGATAAATACTTCAGAAAGTATTTTCATCACGCATTTCTACATGGGAAGAGCGACCTACCTTTTTTTTTAATCTCTTCAAGTTCCTGTTCAATTTGCAAACAGACGGACTGTGTCAGTTCAAATGATATTCTTTGAAAAGCATCAAAATCTTCCACAGTGTAGACATGGGTGTCTGCAGGGGGTGTAGCAATTGCTTCCAACTCAGACCGCACAGCATCCTTAACACCGACTGCAAATATTTCTACATTTGCGTTCCTCAGTTTTACGGCTGGGTCTTTAAAAGCATCGGATGATTTTCCATCAGTAATAAGAATCATGACTCTTGCAACGTTCGGTCTTGCACCCCTGCTTGGGATGAGGACTTTTTCTCTTACGTAGGTCATAGCTTTGCCTGTGTTTGTAGATCCACCTCTGTACGGGAAGGTATTAATAGCTCGAATTACATCTTCAATTTTGTTGTATCTGTTCAAAGGAAATTCCGTATATGGATCCCTGCTGTACTGCACAAGGCTTATTTGGACTTTTTCAGGTGAAATCTCAAAGCTTTTAACTAACACTTCTAAAAATGCTTTTACTTTAGCAAAATTGGCAATACCAATACTGTAGGAGCCATCAACCAAAAGCACAATATCCGCTTTTACATCTATTCCTTGTGCACATTCTGTAAAAAGAAATATGGATATTTAGTATTGATATATAGCAACATTTGCTTCTTTCACCTGGCTTTTAACCGACAACATTGTTTTTTCTAGCTCTTCATATGCCATTGACTTGTATTCCATTAATATTACAGTGCTACTGTAAATACATGTATTTGACATGTTAACCACTTTGATTTTTCTGGAAAGTAGCGGTATATAATTGTCGCTGTTAGTTAGAAAGTAAGAACTCTTAAATTATCTGAAGCACAGGTAGTCCTCAACTTATGCCACAACTGGAACCAAAATTTCTGTTGCTAATCATGCTAGTTGTTGAAAGAGTCATACCCGATTTTTCAACACTTTTTGCCACAGCTGTTAAGCGAAATCACTGCAGTTGTTAAATTAATCACATGGAACTTCCCCCACTGATTTTGCTTGTTATAGCTGGGAAGGTAAAATGGCAGCCACATGACCCTGGGATGCTGCAATGTCATAAATACATGCCATTTGCCAAGCGCTTGGATTTTGATCACATGATGATGGGTATACTCTGATAGTCAGAAGCCACTTTTTTCAGTGCCATTATAGCTTCGTACAGTCACTAAACGAATGGTTGTAAGTCGAGGACAACCTGCATCTATATATTCTAGCATCCTGCTTCCAACAGTGCAAAATTAAATCAATGAAGGAAAAAAACAAAGAGAAAATATCACAGGCTGTATGAAAAAAACTCACAAGAGAACCAGCACAGCTCAATTGCTAAGTACAACCTATGGCTCTTTCCTATTCTTTGTATGACTACACAGTCTAGATTCAATGGACAAAAGGCAATTTGAAACGTAGGTGGGTATGCACATAACATCTGTCTGAACCGCTTTAAATTTAAGGCATGTTTTCCTGGAACTGGGAAGAAAAAGATACCTTCTTTAAGGTATTGCCAACAGGTACCCCACACAATCCCAAATCAGCTATTTTCTTTCAAATCTTGTTCACTACACACACCTACTGTGTGTGTAGCAACAGATTGAACAGTTGGCAGTTAAGAGTTTGTACTGACGTTTCAAAGATGCAGCTGCTTGTAGATCTTTTTAGCTGATCAAGATTGGGATTTAATAACAGGCAGGAGAATTTTTAATTGCTTGGCTATTACATTTCCATTTCAGATTGGACCCTCCATAATTAAGTAATTGCATTTGTGAGCATGTGTTCCTTGCATTGCCAAAAAGTAATCCACTGTTATAATGAGATCACATTTTTACAATATATGAGAAGCCTGATTCAGAACAGGGCTGCAGAAGAGTGGCAAACAATTTAAACTCAGCATCTTGATTAAGTTCCTTGATCTTACTGTAAACAGCCAAAAGGAAGTCATATTTATTTTTATTTATTTATCTTACACTTTTCTATTCCACTGCAATCAAAAGACTCTTGGCACCTTCCAGAGAATGTGAGCTGGTACCAGGCAGAACAGATCTAAGTATTTCCATTCAAAAGTAAATCTCTGTTCAGTTGGATTCTTGTAAGATAAAACTGAACAGGCATTAACTTATTTTTTTCAGTAAATTAATTCTTACCAAAAAATATGCTTATTTGTTTCCTGGTTGAAATTTCAGTAAGTTGGCTTTAAGCTAAGAAGTTACAATTATGTTGTTAGGTTTGCTTTGCAGAAGTATCTTTTTGCATTTTGTTAAGTCGAGAAGAGAGCTGTTCCTTATATTGGAAAGCCTTCCATGGAGGAAAAGACAGGGCCAGTATAAAGAGTTGCCCATATGCCCAAATGCTGACTTCTATGACTTTGAAGAGTCCAGTGTTGATTTTCTGTTACTCACTGAGCATCTCCCCACCTTTCTGTCTACCAGGGTTTCTACCACATTCTGCTTAGATCTATTTTTTTCCGGTCTAAATAAGACTGGAGTAAGAGATGTTCCATAGCTAGAGGAAAATAACGGGCAGAGGTAACAACCAATCAACCACATTAAAATACTTTCAAAAGAGTCCTCTATTTGTGTATATAAGGAGCCTGTTTAAGACCTGACAAGCATACAGGTCTTTCTTTACAGCCAAAACTATCAAGAGCAGCTCTCAGGGACCAGAGGAAACTAAGTGTGCCACAGCAGCCAAAAATGGTTAGTAGGTTCTAGGAAGATCCCAACCGCTGTAACCACATTGTCATTGAAGTGTGCGGCAAATGAGGAAAAAGACCTCTTTAAAATCAGAGCAGTTAAAGATAGCTTCAAGCTGCCCCAGCTTGTGATTTTGGGTGAGACAAAAGCAACATCACGAGGGCGTGGTACAAAACAAAAACAAAAAAACAGTTACGGGAGTATATTTGCACCTTAAATGGAGGGATGTGAGAGAGCCCTTAATTCCCTGACAACAATTATTATTTACTTCAAACATAGTTTGGGCTTTCTTTATCCATCTGTGTATACTCTTTTTTTAATTGAATCTAGTACCATCACCGCATTTTGTAGAATCAACTCCATAAATTAATTTATTAAAATATAATTTACCTTCAATCCTTTTTGCTCTGGTCCTTTTTGACACTTTTTAAAATTTCTATCGTGACAGTTTGGGTGTAGGCCTCAATAGGCCACAAAGACTGAATATGTTCTTTTGCCCAAGAATGGAATAGTCCATCCATGGTGCAGAGGATTTGATTTATTTCTGATAACGCTTCATTTAAGAATGCTTGGTCTCAAGAGTTTCTATCAGCTTATGTAACAAGACTTTTTTAAAATGTACTATTTTTCTCTGTAGTATTTTAGTTTTGTATGACTTAGCCATTGACATAACAATAGATCATTTCAACGACAATGACTCACCGATTCGAACTTTTACTGGCTGTGTTTTTTCCATTATAGACACTGGTTCACTGGAAGCCAGCCCTTTCATGGCATAAACATTAATTTGGTATTCTGTATCTGCTGAAAGTTCTTTTATATTAAAAGCAGTAGTTTGTGGTCCTACATTCACTGAGAATTGTTTGGCATCAGCTATCATTGGAATAATGTCCACCTTATAACCAGTTATGTCACTAGGAGATGGATCCCAAGTGATTTTGATAGATCTTGATGAGATTTGTGAGGCTGCCAGATTTGAAGGAGGTTCTATAGCTGTAAAATGAACAAAAATGCAGCCATAAATATGTCCTTGAGCAAAGAGATAATGCTAAATATACCTACCCCCAAAATAGCCCATGGGTAAATCCTACCTTAATTGATACCATTTTTCTAGTCAACCTGATTATAGAACTTATCTATGAACTGAATGAAGTTTACTAATAAATGTGGACTGGATTATGTATATTTATTATGGAATGACATTGGGACATCATAGATGGTGAAAAAGAGATCAATCTCTCTTTATTTACTCAGAAGTTAGAGGTGCTGAGTTCAGTGGAACTTATTCCCAAGAAAATAATCTTGACTATTTAACACATCGTCATAAGAGTTCAATTAAATACAATGGGACTATTCTGAGCAGAGATGTATGGGACTGTTATGTAAAAATAATAGGCTTTCACTGGCTTCTTTGTCTGCATAATTAAAAGGAACCCTCCTTAGCTGATTCCAGATAATGAAGTTTAATCGCTGCCACAAAGCTTTCTAAATGAATATAAGGGTTGGAAACTGAATATAAAAGTCCCAGAAAGAAACAAAAAACTTAGATAAATCTCAATATTCCACTTGAATATTTTCAGAGGACTGATATTCACCCAGACTTTTTTTTGCTGACTTGCCTGAACATAAAAATATTGAATTCAATGGTACCAAAGCTAATGAGAGATCAAGTGCAGTTACGATAGACACCTTGCTCCAATCCCATTTCTGACAGAAGTAATCCAGAAATACCATGATCAATCTTGGTCCCATACCTAGACTTGAAACCTGACTGAAAGAGGTCCAGAAAATCTATACCCTCCAGGATTCTCTGTAACTGCAACCTTCTCAATTAACTTCCCTAAAAAGACTGGACCCAGAACAAAAAGTGTCCAATATGGTTGGATTCATTGATGGTTTCCTTAATGGCACTATGGTCAGAGGTCAACTGAAGAAACCAACCATCCACTGAGCATGATAAATTAGTTTCAAAACTGCTCAAGGAAAAATTAATCTGGGTTAATTTAAAATTAAAGTTAATTAAGTGGTATGGTTATTCCTACTGTGTTTAATTATTTTTCTCTACAATAGGTAAAAAATATTGAAGTGACTCTGAGAGCTGCCATTATATATTTTAGGAAGTTCGGGCAGCCTTGGAGCCTCAAGCTCTACCTTACTGCTCTTTCAAAAATGCTTTAGGGCAGACCAAATCCTCATTGCCTTGTTAGCCAGAAATATTAGTCAGGAAACGAAACTGATACTTTTGCTTTCCCATTATTACAGCCACGGATGAAGTTAATTACTGTGATAATTCCAAAAAAAATGTTTACCTTCTTCTCCGCTAACCAAGTCACCCAACTGTTCATCAACTCCTGAGCACACCTGTGAGACAATTTCATTCTGAATATCCGCAATGCCATCAAAGTTGGCCACATTAAAAACATGTGTCAATGAGGGCTGGGATGCCATTAACTTCAGCTCTTTGGCATCTGCGGCTTTAATTCCTAGAAAATGGTAGAGATAACAATACTAAACAAGTTTGTCCAATCTTGTTGCACATAACCATTCTTGTATTTGAGACTTTCCATAGCTAATGGTGGTGGGAATTCCGAGATAGGAAACCTGGCTTAATTTCCCACTTCTGTCTTTTTCCTACATTTATTTATTTGTAAATTTTATTTGCTGCCCATCTCGTATCCAAACAACTCTGGGCGGCTACATAAAAGTCTTCTACATCAACCCTTCAAACTACCCATTATTGCTGAGATAGAATATCCACTATTCTTACTTCCCCAGTTTTACTATATATTTATACTGGTAGATGAAATAATCTCTTTTTGCTTTCTCAGCACACAGATTGTTAGATAAAGCATGTTATTCTCTTTATTGTACATGGACATCCATAGTCATGCAGCAACAGGAGTGTATTGTACCATCATTATACTAAATCTGCATAGTACATCAAAAGAAGAGCACAATCGTAGAAAAATACATTTTGGGGGGATCTTAGGCAATCAGGTTTAAACTATTTATTCAGCAAAGCAATGTTTTAAAACATTCTACTTTTCTTGATATTACTGAAATTGTATAAAATAAAAGTGATTTGGGGATTATTTTAATCTCCATAAAGTAACCTTATAACAATTTACGATATAGCTGGCATTCTACTTCCAGGTTTTCCTTAAATCTAATCAGCTAGGGAAGTGCATTTTTATAACAAGCAAAATACATAGCTTTAAATTTCTCTCTGTGAATAAATTGCAATCATCATCAACAGCAATATAAAATTGAGCATACCCAAAGAAAAGACTTCAACTCCAGTGCTACGAAGTTCTCTTGCAGGAATTTCTACTTCATCCTGAGATTTTCCATCCGTAATGATAATTGCCACTTTGGGAAAGCCATTTCTTGCTCCAGCAGACTCCGTAAATGCATTTCTAATCAGATAATCAATAGCCTCCCCTAAAATTATGAAACAAATTGTAATTTTTTTTATCAAAATCGTTAATGCTAAGATCAAATTCAAAATTATAAAGCCATAAAAGAGAGCACCACCCACCCCAAAAAAGAAAAATGGCAGATATCTCATTATCATTCAGGCTTTCTTCATGATCAGAGGGAAATTCATACCTGTCATGGTGTTGCCTCCTTTATATGGTATTCTTCTTATTGCCTCAACAAGATCTTTTTTTCTGAAATACTGATTTAAATTGAATTCAGTCCTTGTATCAGTGCTGTACTGGACTATTCCAACTCTTGTCTTATCTTCTCCAATATCAAATGCTGATACAAGAGTAATGATGAAGTCCAATATGTATTTAAAGTTATTTCTGCCTACACTCCAAGAACCATCCACAAGAAAAACTAGATCTGTAACAGCACTAATGGAACACTCTGAAACATAATGGGACAAAATTATTAATTAACCCTCACATATACACCCACATATTCTAAATGTTTGATTTATTTGATAAATGTATTTTTATGTTGATTAATCACCTGTTGCTTGGATGTACATTGAGAGCTTATGCACCGAAGACAAATTCCTTCTGTGTCCTATCACACTTGGCCAATAAAGAATTCTATTCTATTCTATTCTATTCTATTCTATTCTATTCTATTCTATTCTATTATTTGGGGTCCATGAGCATGAATCAGATAGCTAGAAGATATTTATGCATGTATCCATGCATCCCTTCAAGTCATGGTGCACTCCTGGCAACTGTTTGAACTAATCCCTGCATTTTTCTTGGCAAGATTTTGGAAATGGTTTGCCATTGCCTGCTTCTTATGGCTGATAAAGGGTGACTGACCCAAGGTCACTCAGGTGACTTTGTGGGTAAGGCGATACTAGAATACAAAGTCTGCCAGTTTCTCCAGGTGCCTTAACTATTACACCAAACTGGCTGTGGACAGAAGATAGTGAGACAGCAATATACATACATTCCAACTTTGAACTTATGGAGAAAATTTAATAAGCCAAGGGAAGTTTACTCTCACAGAAAGGGAAATTATTTCCCTTGCCTTTCGCAGCCAATCCTGGACCACCTACTGTGCTGCTTTAAGGTGGTCCTGGAACTTTCAGTAGGTGCAAAGGACTGAATATCAGTGTAACTAATGACTTTGAACAGCTAATATCACATAAAAATACAGTATCAAAATAAATATCAAAATATATTAATGTACAATCTTAAAATGGAAGCAGAAAACAAATCCATTCAACAATAAGATAACAGCATCTCATGGGCTTTAGACAAACCACCCACTCCATGCCCAGGATAGTTGTCATATTCATTTCTTATTACATGAGTAAGGTAGAGAAAGTACATTTGATGATTCTTTGAAATCGGGATCAGTTTCCACTCTGTTTATTGACAAAAGGGTTCCTCTGAATCAAATCTAAAATGGTTGCTATGACTCCTGAGCCAAACAAAAGTCAGTCTGGGGATAGTTAGATCAAAGGATAAAACAAAGGAGAAGGGGAAAGAATACATTTGAAAGTGCCCAAAGCATGGGCAACAAAAGTTTTTATAAAATAAAAATTCATCTCCTTGGCCATCAAGAACAAGCATGAATCAAATAACGATGCACATAAATCTTATACACTATAGAATTTGACTGAGACGGAAAGGGATCTTCTGTTTCGATCTTTTCCAATGTGATGCTTTCATATTTGTTGGGACTTTAACTTCTGGATTCCCCAATCAAAGCAATGATTATAGGAATTGAATGAAAGCATACCTAAAGGTCCTAGGCTTTTTTTAAAAAAATGCTTTTTCCCCAGCCAGTAAAAATGCAATGTGAAGAGTAAAAACACATTTGCGTATATCTAGGCAGTTTGGTTATGCTGGTTTAGAAATAGATGCCATATACCAGGAGCAGCAACATTACAAAATTACTTACTTTGCAAATTGATTTCTTCAACCTTCTTTACTCCTGTTGTTACAAAGCCACCTGTTTGAACTAGAACAGAACATACAGCTTAATAAAAAAGAAAAGAAAATCTTCTCAGAATCAAAGGGTTGCTTTACTTTTTATGGATCTCTGAAACTGTAATGGGAGAACAGAATGTTGAATGAAGCTGCAAATTATATATAAATGGTGCTACTACTACAGAGCCCTAACGGCGAGTGGTTAGAATACCATATTGCAGGCAAACTCTGCCCATAGCCTGGAGTTCAATCCTGACTGGCTCAAGGTCGACTCAGCCTTCCATCCTTCCCAGGTCAGCAAAATGAGGACCCAGATTGTTGGGGGCAAGATGCAAATAATGCTTCTACACTGTAAACTGCCCAGAGAGTGCTGTAAAGTGCTATGGGGTGTTATATAGCGTAAGCATTATTGTTATTGCTACTACTACGAATAACAGTAACAATAATAGAGTTGGAAGACCTTTGAGGTCTTCTAGTCCAACCCCCTGCTCAGGCAGGAAACCCTATACCATTTCAGATAAATGGTTATCCAGTCTCTTCTTAAAAACTTCCAGTGTTGAAGCATTCACAGCTTCTGGAGGCAGGTTGTTCCACTGGTTAATTGTTCTAACTGTCAGGAAAATTCTCTGTAGTTCTAGATTGCTTCTCTCTTTGATTAGTTTCGATCCATTGATTCTTGTCCTGCCCTCAAGTGCTTTGGAGAATAGCTTGACTCCCTCTTCTCTGTGGCAACCCAAGATATTGGAACACTGCTATCATGTCCCCCCTCATCCTTCTCTTCATTAAACTAGACATATCCAATTCCAGAAACCTTTCTTTATATGTTTAAGCCTCCAGTCCCCTGATAGTCTTTGTTACTCTTCTCTGTATTCTCTCCAGAGTTTTAACATCTTTTTTACATCGTGGTGACCAAAACTGGATGCAGTATTCCAAGTGTGGCCTTACCAAGGCATTGTAAAGTGGTATTAATACTTCACGAGATCTTGATTCTATCCCTCTGTTAATGCAGCCCAGCATTGTGTTGGCTTTTTTGGCAGCTGCAGCACACTGCTGGCTCATATTTAAGTGACTGTCCACTAGGACTCTGAGATCCCTCTCACAGTTATCACATGGATTTTTTGAAATCTACATTCAGCATATTTATTTGCTAATTAAAACAAATTTAAGTCCAACCTTAAAAGGTAGAAGTCAAATGTCTACATATACTACATATGTAAATCACTCAGTACCGCCTCACATCTCAAGTTGAGCCCATATAAATTTGACAAATGATAAATTAAAATATAGTAAATATATCTTTGAGCAGTATTGAAACTATATTCCAAGCAACATCTTGATCAATTTTACAAACTTACTTGTAAGTTGTCCAGTGACAGGTACACTTTCTTCTACAGCATCATATGAATTTATAGTTACAATATATTCAGTATCTGGTATGAGGTCTGTTAACAAAGTTTGGGTAGCCGTATCCGCTAAGGTAAATTCTCTACTTGAACCATCTGCAATTATACATAAAGACCATTTTCATAATCATAACTTCTAAATTGCATAATAACCATTTATTCAAAAAAATTATACATCAAGAAACAAATGTTAAAAGCTCACAAACATTTGATTTCCTGAAAGAGCTAGCAATAATACATTCACTGTGCGTATGCTTTGAGCATTATCATGTACAAAAGGATGAACTATTCTAATGTTAGCAAGGAGTCATTCAAATAAAGTTCTTATCCTATTTCTCTGATTATATATATCTTAAGGCAAGAAAGCCAAATTCCAAGGGGGAACTAGGAAGTCTTTAAGGTCTTGAAATATCTTTTTTTTAAAATTCACGGCTTTAAGAACCATGAACAGTAAAACAAAACAAAAATATCAGTAAAAATAATGTTCATACGAGGGTATAGATCAAACATATTTATTGAATTAATTACCACTATACACAGTATGATCTGGTTCACACATCTGCCTAACTATGTGATCCATACTGAATAAACCAGAATTAGCTGGGTTCACAGAATAAAATTATAAAGTATGGTTCACAAAATACAATGAATGGATTTCACACAATATATTTAGCCAAAGTCAAACAAACAAAATTAGACCATAGTGATGTATAAAACCAGCATTCCATCCCCTAAATATATTCTTGTTATTAATCACTTAGGCAGATGTGAAAAGAAACAAGGGACTTGTTAACATACAAGAAAAATAAGATCATCTAAACTGTCCAGAAAAGGAAATAGTAGAGTATAGACGAGATTAACAAAAGAGTTGGGAAACTGTTCTTCAAAATGCATCCCAGGTTATTATAACCCATTGCAAGGGGTTTATCCATACAGTAGTGTGTTACAGACATTGTAGTATAATAGTTATAGTGTTGCTCTTAAACTGGGGTGATTCAGGTTCAAGTCCCTACTTGACCACAAAACCCACTGTATTTTGTCATTCGGATACAGTGAGGAAAGGTCCACACTGAAGCTGCCTTAGCAATCAAAGATAAGGCAATATAAAAATGTAATAAATATCTGCAGATACTTATTGCAGATACACATGATAAGCCAAGTATTGTGATAGAAATACCGCTCCTTTCATACTTGCATGAAAATGTCATATACAAATACATAAGGGGCAGACGTTACTTTACTTTCTAAATGTCACTTATGCACAATATGGAAATCTGTCCAGCCATTGGCAGTTACTTATGTGCTGTATCGTATATGATGTCATTCATACCCTTTAAAGTACTTTACTAAATTAATTTTAATTAGTATCAAAAATCCAAAGTATGATTAGCTAAGATGATTATCTTAGTTGCCTATCTGTCAAAGAAAGTTTTTTCATGTTTCTGAAATTTCAGCTTGCTGAAGTCACTTCTGAGTCTATTGGCATTTTTCTAATCAATTAAGACTACAATTCCATTCATGCTTACTAAAGCATAAAAATCACTAAATTCAGGGCATCTATCTCCTGCCTAGACCTGAATAAAATTGTAATGTAATTTTCAATACAATTTTTGACAAATTAAATATGGTCTTTTACATTTTTCATGCTGTATCTAGACATTTTGTACGCTCGAAATCAACTAGAAAGAAAGATACAATTTAACAAATTACATTAATTCAGAGTTCAAGATTTTTTCTAAAAAAAGAACATTAAATCTTACCAGCTGCAGAGCTCACAGTTATCCTGTAACCTTCTATTGCATCAGATGGTCTTGCCCATGACATTTGAACAGTATTTTCATCTATAATTTTAAATTTCAAGTCTGAAGGTGGATTAACTGCAAAAGATTTATATCAAGCAAACTATGTTTAAATGTTGAAGAAATTAATTTCATAATAATTTTAAAATATGTTAAGCAAAGCTTGCTAAGATGTGTCTTTGCATAAATTTGTTTCCAACACATATACAGATATGCTGTTGGCAAAAGGAAGATTGCAAGCTGATGAACATGACAAAACATATCAAAGAAAATATGCATCACAGAGGACAGCAACAGAACATTTGTTTCTTGAATTGCCAAGTCATTCAAGAATGGCTAGCAGAATCAAGCACAATAGAAAACACATTTCAATACATGTACAATGAGTTCACAGATAATAATCACATGTGCAAACATTTTCACAAAACAATTAAAAGAACGTTCTTAACATGCTGGATGCAATTCATAAAAGCATGCCAAATCACAACCTGCTTGTAACACCATGAGATCTGACAAGAACATAAAATCCCTTTCAGCAGATCATCAAAGAATATATTACTCTTTGAAATTCATCTCTGCATAGTTGTATTTCACTGAATATGTTGTATGCAGAGATATATGCATTGTGGGAAATGTGGTAAGATTTAAGGGGCCTTTGGGTCTCAATTTACATCATACCTAAATTAACTCCTTATTTCCAAAAAGCCACCTAAGTAGCTTATCTTGTATATACTGCTAATACATAAAATGGGAAATGTTACTAAGAAAGTATTCAATATTTTCTGTCACAGTTGTATAAGTATTGTACACAAAACCAAGTTTTCTGACTGTTTACACCACTCTGCTATACCAATCCTGAGGTGTAAACCATCCTTAGCATTTTTATGCTCTGTGTGTAGCAGGTGTTCCCATACTAAGAAATGGCATTTTAAAACAAAATGCCAGTATGGTATTTCACACAACAATTGTTAATTATGAAAAGACAACATCAAGATATATGTATAGACATTTATTTACAGGATGTAGAGAGGAAAACAAGGAAAAAAGCATCAGTGATCCAAACAAATGATTATATATCAATCTGTGGGAACCAGCAAGAAAATGAATTGAATGTAGTATAGAAAGAGTTTACATATGCTATCTAGCAGTAACATGCATTTGTGTTTCTATCTATCTATAGATAGATATATAGAGATATATGATATATGATATCCATCTATCTATATATAGATACATGAAAGTCAATTTTATTATTTTAATTTACTGTAGCTTCCATAGTGGGCAAAAGCCTCCATGTACAAGGATCATTGCTAAAGACATTACATAATAATATTTTATAATGATATTCTCATGTTAAATCAGTCATGCAAAGTCATGCAGTCCTCTACTGATTCACTGTCAGTGCATGGTATGCGTACTACAAATAGTTAAGTTTTAACTACTGTACGTAAGGTTTAATAAAGACATATGAGATTCAGCCATACTTTTCTTGAAACTTCAGACTGATTGGCAAACACCAATTAATATTGATTATACACTACGTAGGTATATAGATAGGCATATATCAGGATTTTCTTGAAAGATGTCCACTTCTGCATAATTAAAAATGTTTTCTTTAAAAAACTATTTAACAGTGGACTACTTAGAAATCAATCAATAAATGTTAAATAGTGCTACAGTAACAATCATATTAATATAGCTCTGTTGATTGTAAGGGCATTGTGCTTTCCAAGTGATTTAACTCTTTAAAACTAAATAAAAGTTTAATGCACTTTGTGAGTTGGCCATTTCAAGATTTTTAAAATACCATCTGCTTCTTAATGGATTGCCATTTCCAATGAAATAGGATTACATGGCTTGACATTGATGCTACCACAAGTAACAGTACTACAAGAACAAATGTTATTTTTCTCCTATTGTCCATACACAGGCAGTGAGATTAGAATATTAATTTGCATGCACAACTGATTCTTCATTCAATTTAAGGCACTCATACTAATGCCACCACAAAAAAAGCAATTAGGTAGTATCTAACTCATGCAACACATGTTAATAATAACATTAACATTTTAAAGAATACCATTATAAAATATTCTTTCCAAACCAATGGCTCAGGACAAATTTAATGCAAAGGCAGAGACAAATGACCTGAGCATGCTTTTTCTTTTTAAAAAAATGAGTACATGGGAAAAAAAATAGCACCACCAACCTTGAAGGAAATTTGACCTGAAGCAGCAGAGGCCTTAGGCTGTAACTGCTGAAGGACAGCAGCAGCCTATCTTGAGGTGATCCAGTGACCGGATTCGAGATAAACTGAAAAGGCCAACTGTGGGGAAAAGTCTTCAACATTTTAAAAAAATCTGTAATCTGATTTACAAAAAAACTCAAATGTGGCACTTAGTTTTTCATCATGAATGTCACTTCTATCTCGTACGAGATTATCTGGTTATCTGCTATAGATGAAACGGCGCAACTTTTCCATAGAAGTTCATAAGAAATGTATTTCAGATTCCTAGATGTGGCAGCACCCACTTCCACAATAATCAAATTCTGCCTGTGCCAAGTTCAGACTAAATGGAAGTCCAAACACTGAATCAAGGGCGACTTACTTCTAAGCTAAGCACACATTTTTTGCTTGGCCTAGTCTTTTTCTAACTTCACTCCCACTGAATTAAGTGCCTATTCTGTTTTCCTGTAACAGGGCAGCTGTAGAATTTAAATCCTGGATCCAAAGAATCATGCATCTTATTTGTTTATCCAAGAAGACTTTGGGGGATTTTCCTTCCAAAGCAAATTTGCTTATCCACTGCACAAAATGCTTTTTAAACTAGATGTTTATAAAGCAAATTTCTCTGACAGGGCATGGATACTTTTTTATGTGTAAGAAAAAAGTTGTACAAATCCCACTTAGCATGCACAAGTCCTTGGTTATGCATAAACTAATTCTTTGGATCTTAGGCTGTCTCAGGTATCACAATAACATGGTGATTAAAGAAAGCTGTTTTCAGAATCGTGTAAGAAAACAAGACCTGCTCAATAAAAGGGAGTGCAGTAAGCCTCCATTTTGATTATATTGTTCCCAGTGACACAAAAAATTCAAGTAATTCCTATGTGTCTATCTCAACAATGAAAGCTAAATTTCATCATAATTTTATCACAAGGGATATCCTGCATACATACATATATTATCTTGAGTTTGGTGCACCCTGTCGGCCCATATTTGGGCCGACAGGGTGCACCAAACTCAAGATAATCCTTCTCCCCTGTCTCATAGCTGACAAAGTGAGAAAGAGCCTGTGGTCTAGAGGTTAATACATCTGTCTAACATGCAGACAGCCCAGGTTCGAATCTCAGAAGGGTATGTCTGGTTGAAAAGAACTAAAAAGTTCGAAATGGCTATTCTAGTTCTCCCTTAATTCTTTGTTAGCAATCCAAATTTTGAAAAACACATACATATATATATGTATACGTTTGTGTTTGTGTGTGTGTGTGTGTGTGTGTGTGTATGCAATTATTTCTATTACTACTTCAACCAAAATTAAAGACCTAATAGTTACTACATAACCTGTTCAGGCAATTGTTTTATCAGAACTAAAAAGAAAATAGATTCCATTTTTAGATTATTTTGATAAATAAATGCAGTTGATTAAGATGTTAATAGATTTAACATTTAATTCAACAATAGTTAACAGCTGCTGTTTAAGTGGTCTGCACAAAGTAGTCAGTGAGGTTCAATAATAACACAACAGGAGAGTAGATTCAAGTTTTACTCTCATAACAAAAAAGTTCAGTGGACTGTGCTTATTGTCTTATGTACTTATGTTAATTCTGATATTTTTTAGTATTTCATTATATATGGGATTGTAACATTCTAGTACATTTCCAATTATATTTTTATTGCTTTAAGTACCTCTCATTGAAATTAAAAATGGAATGTGTCACACTGACAGGATATGTAGACTGGATATATTCATATCCATTGCTGATCTCTGGCTCATTTCTCAGTATATTTAAATTTGAAGTTTGAGCTATTGTAATGGAAGTGCATATTAAATGGAGAAAAAACAGCCCCAAATGTCATGACTTGGGGCAACCCCGAAAACTGTTTTTTATTTAAAGACTTTTGTTTAAAAAAATAAAAAATAGAGGGGAAAAAACCCTGACTACTTATTATTATTATTATTATTATTATTATTATTTAGATTTGTATACCGCCCTATCTCCCTTACGGGACTCAGGGCGGTGAACAGGCAATAATAAAAATCACAATAAATATCTATTCTAAAATCAAATTAAATAAATAAAGGCCTGCTCTAAAATACCCCATATAAAAACCTATACTAAAACCTAATTAAGACTGCGCCAGGCCGGCCGCACGAAATAGATGGGTTTTCAGGGCTCGGCAAAAAAGGCGCAGGTCCGCAGTTGTACGTAGGTCGGGGGGTAGGTCATTCCAGAGGGCAGGAGCTGCCACAGAGAATGCTCTCCCCCTGGGGGTCGCCAGCCGGCATTGACTGGCCGACGGCACCCTAAGGAGGCCCTCTCTGTGGGAGCGGACTGGTCAAAGGGAGGTATTTGGTAGGAGGCGGTCTTGCAAATACCTAGGTCCATTGCCATGGAGCGCTTTAAAGGTTGTTACTAACACCTTGAAGCGCACCCGGAAGGCCACAGGCAGACTACCATTCATAAAGGAGTTTCAGGCAGTATGAAAATCAATGAGACACAAAACAAAGACGCATGCTTAGATGTGGATTTCTTGTAATTGTTTCTGCCTAAAAACTGTGCTCCTTCCAGACAACTACTCAGAGAAAAGAATCAAAATCATCTTACTATACCAAGAACTAAAGTCCTACAGTCAGTGGTGGGATTCAAATATGTGAACAACCAGTTCTCTGTGTGGATGTCGCTTCAGGAAGTCCATTCTGGGCCTGGGCAACAAAAAATTAGCTACCGGTTCTGCCGAAGTGGTGCGATCTGGCTGAATCCCACCACTGCCTGCAGTCAGAACTGACAAAAAGTACAATCAAATTAGAAATCTGGAAATCAGAGGTTATAAGTAATGTATTATATTATAAGAGAGCAAACAGCCAATAAAGAAAGATGTGTAGTTTGTAATCTTGCTCTTTGGGAAAGTTACCAGATATTTCTTTCCAGTATTTGGGATGAAGGCAGACAAAAAAAGAGATACGGCAGTGGCACCAAGATTATGATATATTATAACCAAGTATTTTACAAATGAAATATGAGAAATAAGAATGGAGCAGCAGTAATTCAAGAGAGAACAATTTAGAACATGATTTAATATGTAAAAAAATGTAAAATGAAAACATCCACTTTAAAACATACAGAGAAAGATAATTATAGTGTCGTAAACTTTAATTTGTAAAATTAAGAATACCTTCACTAAATTCTTCAAAAAACATTTTTTTTTTAAAAAAATAGTTACTAGTGCTGAGTACATGCTCTATTGGTTTGACTGCATGTGGGCATTTGAGTGAAGGGTCAAGCTTATTCCTAACATTTTCTTTAGCTCAATCATCAACCAAATCGGGATTCTGAATTACTAGGACAGGGTTTCCCAAACTTGGCACAGACTTCGATTCCCAGAATTCCCAAGCCATTCTCCATGCTGGCTGGGGAATTCTGGAAGTTGAGATTCACATGCCTTAAAAGTTGACAAGGTTGGGAAGCCTTGCATTAGGACAGGGGTGTCAAACTGCCGGCCCACGGGCCGGACGCGTCACGCGGAAGCCGCACCCACCCCATTGCCAGCAATGGCAAAACTGTCCCGATACGTTGCGCGACGTCACATGACGTCGCAGGTTTGACATGTCTGCATTAGGGGAATAAAACTGATTCCCTGTAATCTTCAAACTTTCTCTACTCTCCAAACAGGATCCAGCCATACATCACTATGGTGGCAAAGTCTGTAGCTATCATCTTATTCCTTTTCTCTGTTTGATTATAATCACAATGAAGTAATACCTCAGAACAACTGATCTTTGGTCTCTCCATTATCTTTATTACTTTCAGTAAATAATAAATCCATTTTTTTCATATTTTAAGTGAACTGGTTGTTGAGAATGTTCCACATAGGGGAAACATCATCTCCCCATACATAAGAATCAAATGCATCAATGAGAAGCTAGATTTGAGAATAGACAAATTTGGCTTTACCCATTCATTCATTCGTTCGTTCGTTTGTTCATTCATTGGGTACAAGAGGTTGGTGGACTAGTAATATAATAGTATATTATCTTCAGTCTAAACTGATATAACTCACCCTGGGGGGGGGGGGTTACAGAACTAGCATCAGAACTTCAGTGTGACTAAGAAACAATGAATACGGTTTGGGGCTATGTAACTAAAGAAAACAGAGTAGTAATTAAAATGAAGTCTCCTCTAAGTTGAACTCAACTTTTGTGACTTCCCATGAAATTAATAAATAGTGCTTACTAATTGTTCTCACTGAGTTGTATAGATTAACCATAGGATTCAGACCCCAGTAAGCCCTTGAAAATATAACTGAGGAAGTCACTGAAGAAAATAATCAGAGTCACCCTGTTGCATGAAATCCTGAGAAAAATATCATTCTGAAGCCCATCCCAATTAGTCCGCAGGGTTTTGAAAATATTTACAGCCCTGTATTATGTTTATAGTTCTTAATAGCATTCTTCAAAGCACAACCAGCACATAGTAATGTAAGCCTACCACAGCCTATCAAAGAAGATACTTAGAATAATTGTTTAAAACAATTGTCAGAATTTATCATTATTCTTCAAACAATATTTGATACATTGAGAGAAAGGCCAAGTTCTTTCCGGGTTTTTTTTTTCCCTTTTAGGGCCTTCACTTTTTACTGATTCTAAGCCAGTGACCCTTTCAGCTCAACCTCCACCTAGGCGAGCACCAGCTCCATTCTTAAAGATAGCCTTGGAAGTCATTACTGAGCATGGCTATTATCTAAATTAAAGAACAACCAGTCCCTAAGCAGGGAAGTGGAGCAAAAACAACATGCTCAAAGAAGGGTCTCCATGGATGGTGGGAGGGTTCCCCTTCTTCTCATTCAATGTCCCTGGCAGCAGGGAAGGCATCTAATACAGATAGTCTTCAACTTATGACCACAATCGAGCCCAAAATTTCCATTGCTAGGCAAGACAATTGTTAAGTGAATTTCACCAGTTGCTAAGTGTCCAAATTTTGATCATGTGATCACGGGGATGGTGCAATGAAAAACAGCCATAAATCAGTGCTGTTTTTTCAGTGCTATTGTAACTTCAAATTATCATTAAACCAGTGGTTGTAAGTTGAGGATTACTTATATGTGGTTCCTGAGGCTTCTGGGCTGACTTTGCCAAGTGCCATCAGCAGGGCTTTTGCCATTAATCCTTCACCTTTCTAAGTGTGCTGTCCACCACATCTTAGGAGGATAAATGCCCACCCTAAAAAAAACTGATTGAAATAGCTACATAACACTTCTGTCCTTCGCAAGAAAGAAGAAAGGTTTCAATTACAGCAGTGAGAAAGTATTACCGAAATGAAAATGGAATTAGTATTCTGGAAGTTAATCAAAAACTTAGGAAAAGGTATTATTTTTTCTCTCTCTTTGTGTGGTGTTAGGTAGGTTTGAGAGGTTCCCCATACTCCTTCGCAGAACCCCAAACTGGCTCTGCATCAGGATTAATGGGACATAACATCATTTCATGTTACATGGGTGACTCTTTTAAAATGTTTTAGAAATGGTACTTGATGGATTTAGGAATTTAAAAAAAAAATATTAGAAAAAGAAATGACATTTGCAAGGCACATTTTTCTCATCTATCCAATTTTAAATGTCTCCTTTTAAAAAAAAAGTTACGAGCAAAGAAATTGCTCTGCAGTTTTTCAGAGATTTTCATTTAAATCTCTACCAGTGTCTATAGTGTTTTTGGAATTCCAGGACTGATTTTGGTTTTTCTGGAACATGTAATAAAAACAGAAGCTAGCAAAAAAAAAATGGAAATGATTGATGAGATCAAGCCTCTCGGCATATAAAGAAAAGTACAAGTCCTGTCAGTTTCGGCAGGCAGCAATTTGAGAAATGTGGTCACAAGTTAAAATCAACTACAAGTTTGCCCATCACTTAAGAGGATATGTGGATAGGAATTACGGCCTGGGTTTCTTTTACAGAACTACCACTTTCACTCTGTGGGAGGTAAAGACATGTTCATTTTGTGCTCCTGCCTGAAGGTGAAGAGCTGTAAATTAGGAGCATTATTTCTCCAATATATAAGAATACTTACACAACACAAGTCAAGAACTCAAGAATCCCAATCACAGGATTATCTTTTTTTCATGTACAAAAAAGGTCAGTGCAGTGCAGTGCAATGAGAAATTTGGCAATCCAACATTCTCAAGGAGGAATGAGATGGTTGGAGAATAGCTGAAATAGCTGAATGTCCTTGTTTGGCCACTTCTTCTCCAAGTAGGAATGCTTTTGCAGGGCATATGTTTAAGTAGTAAAGTGATAGCAAGGAAGCATGACATTTGGAGTAGATGAGAAAGTGTATTTAATTTATGTAATTAAAAGAGAGAGGGGGGAAAACCCTCGCAAATCTATTGTGCAGTGTTTTCAAATGGTTAATCCAATGTGCTGAATGAGGACTCGGTCTGTGTGGGAGCCCAGGCAGGAAAGTTTTTGGATGTCCCAAGGGACCCTGGTCTTGCTTCAAAAACAGGAGCCAGGATTGCTCATTCCTTGCTCTGTCCCAAATGAACTGACTCACCAAGTAGAGGACTTTCCTCCCCCTTTCATTCCAAACAAAACACACAGGCAGCCAGATTTTGTTGGAGTGCTTTATTTTATAAACCCTTCAAAATAATTTTAAAAAAAAAAAAAAAAAAAAAGCAGACACATGTATCTTGTATATATTTGCAGTACAAAGCAGAGCAATTAAGCATTGAGAGGGTGTGGACAAGTGCTTCGGGGCTTCTCCTGCTACTAAGGAGAAGTTTCAAGTTGCCACAGGAATCTTCCTTCTCCCTAATCACTCTTGGTTCAAAAGAAAGATAGAGAGAAAAGGAGGAACAGCAGTGGAGGGCCAAGATCACAACGGAGATCTAGTGTGGACAGCACACCAGAAAGACAACAAAACAGGGGAAAGAGGAGAGCGACTCTGCTGGAGCCGCTCTAGAGAAATAAACAAACTACAGAAAGAAAGGGAACAAAGAGAGAGAAGAGGATATGAAACAACAGTCACCCTCAGAGAGCAACTGTTGCCTTGTTTAATTCTGCACCATCACTTTCGCGGAATAAAGGACAGAGTTATTTACCTTGAGCCTCAATTGAACAAAGCAGGAGAGCTGCACATACGACTGCTACAGCTGTTGCACGGAGCCTTATCTTCATGGCTGCTGTTTTGTATCACAACCACATGAATAATTCTAAAAGAAAAAAGGAGAAGAAAAAATGGAGACTTAGTACAATGGGGTTTTTTTTTAAGCAGATGAATGGAGAGGGAAAGGAGGGAAGTTCAAGATCAGCTTTCACCAATTTATGCATTCCAGTTTGGTAGGAACTTCTTTCATTCCCTTTAGTCTTCTGGGGTCTATCAGAATAGAGAAGAATGATTTACAGTACATCACTTTCTTCACCATAGTCAACTTTCCTTTCCAGCAAAAAAACCTTCCTTTCTCCCCTTCTTGCACCAAGTCAGAATATTTCGACAAGAAACTTTCCCACCCTCTCCAAATTCCAAAACTCCAAAACTCATCACTACTTGCTATTCCAGATTTAGGAATAAATTGACAAATATATAGGTACACAGGTAGTTCTTGCTTACCAATCATCCATTCAGCAACTGTTCAAAGTTACAACAGTGCTGAAAAAGGCAATCAACCAGACAACATCCCTGCAATCACATTATTGTGATTTGGCAACCGGCGCACTTTTATCTATCTATCTATCTATCTGTCTGTCTGTCTGTCTGTCTGTCTGTCTCTATCTATCTATCTATCTATCTATCTATCTATCTATCTATCTATCTATCTATCTATCTAATCATGTTTTTAGACTATCTATCTCCCTCTCCCATTTATGATGGTCGCAGCTTCCCACAATATTTTTGATCTGCACAGCCAGCTTCCTACAAGCGAAGTCAGTGGGGAAACCAGCAGGAAGTCACAAGTCACAATCATGTGACATGGCGCTTAGCGACCATGAATGATTTGAAGGATGAGTTAACAAACATATCTGGAAATGACACTGTAAGTTGGTGCATTCACGTGACATTTCACTTGAAAACTGTGTTGCTTAGCAATGGAGTTGCCAATTCTAACTGCAGTCAGTAAGTGGACTCCTTCAAAAGAAATAATGAACTGGAAACAGTTCCATTAAAAGCGGAGCCAACAACCACAGAGGAATGAAAAGCCAGTAAGTAGACCGGCTTTTTGGATTTCCTCTCCGGACAAGGAAAGAACTTTGGATTGTCCACAAGCACCCCAGACAGTTGCTCTTCAAGAGGAGACCACAAGACAGTGATCTCCAGTGGGTTTAGAACTCTGACAGATGAGGAAATAGCCATTCTGTTCAATCCATAGTCAGTGACTTTAAAAGGACACTGGATTTACATATTTCCTTTTCTAATCACTTTCCTTTTATCTTTTTGGTTTGTAGAAGTTTTCTATCAGTGTAATTGTAATTTTCAATGAAAATTACTAATAAACTAATCGCTGTTAGTTAAGTGAGGAATACCTGTACTTTCATGAGGTGTATGGAGTAAGATAATGGCAGCGAAGTAGCGTACTTATGAGTCTTTTAAATTAATGCATAATTCACATTACATTTTCTCTAAATATGATAACATAATTCACCATATATTTCTTTAAATATCATCACATGCTACACCAGTTAATGAAGGAGAAATCAGTCCTCATTTGCCTATCTTAAATGCTGTTCCAAGATGCCTTGCATAACTTAGCTTCAGTGTGTGGCCGATTATACAATGAATAACCTCACCCTTCAAAATTGCCTGGCAAATCTCCTATCTTCTCCTAAGAGCACTGAGCTAATATACACAACATCCTGAAATTGCAGTACATGGGCAGAAGTCCCCATCCTCTTCACGAACAGACATCCTCTTCTTTTTCCAGGAATGGATAGAACCTCTGCTCACTAACTGTAATCCTGGAGAATTTGGTTGATATACTGTATGTAGTTGTTTTCTAAATACTGTTAAATTGAATTACTTCATTTCATTAAAATATAAAATTCTGTACGTTCCGGACATACAGCATATTCTGGATAAATGTTAATATCAAGTTCTTATCTAAGTGTCTTAATTATTTGCTTGCTTTTTAATAAAAGGATTACTCTGATTGTAATGCTTTAAAAGGTTTGGAGAACTGGAAAGAGAAAACAGAAGAAAGGACTTCAGACCACTAGTTAATAGATTTTTTGCGACATGGTGATAAATAATAATTACTATGGATCTTTTAAGGCAGGATTAGGCAATCTGTGGCCTGTGTATGGCATAAGCCCCCAGCACTAATTTATATCTCCTGAATTGCACTAATGAAATTTGGTGTTCTTTAGATGTCCCTAGGAAAAGTCAAAATCTTCAGGATGGCAGGTGGTGTCACAATCCATTCCCACCCATTTTGATCAACACTGAAATACGTATAAAAGAGGTGGGGTCAGGCAAAATCCGACCATTTACAGATTTTGATTCCCCAGACACAGAAAGACAGATGTCAGAGGAGGAGGAAGTGGGAAGAAGGGGAGGGAAGATCATATCATACTTTCCAGAAAATCCATAAAAACGTAGCTAAAATTCTTCTACACTCCTCCCATAAATAAAGACTAATGTGTGAGTAAGATCACACATACTGCTTGATTCTTTTTGCCATCCTGCAGTGTTGCCATTGTTTATTTATTTTCATTCCCCATTCAATAATTTTGTTCTTTGGGGTGTGAGAGGAATGATGGACTGATGATATCTCCATGAAAGCAGAACAGATGGTTCTTGCGAAGAATGAAAAACCAATGAGTAGACAGGCTCTTTGAAACTTTCTGAATGAGGAGAGATCGGGAAATTGCTCACTTGTGTTCCAAGCAGTTGCTCCTTGTGAAGAGACTGCAGGAAAAGTGGTCTCCTGCAGGCATGAGTGAGAGGATCTGCTGTCTTGTTCATAACCACAGTCGGTGCCTTTTAAAGGACACTAAGTTCGCTTAACCTCACTTCCTAATCACTTTCATAAACTGCTTATTAGGTACTTTTAAGCTATTAGAAATCTTTGGGAACAACAAATTTGAAAATGCTGGGTGAATTTGTCTTCATTCCAGAATGAAATAACATTTTAATCATCATCTTAAGAATTTAAATAATTTGAAATGAACACCAAAACACTAGATAAGATTTTAATCTTAAAAAGTTAAAAAGATAAGTATGAAATATGAAACTTATTACAATAAGATTCTGGAATTAATTATAAAGAACAAACAGATTTTTGTGGGAAATAAATCTGTTTCGGTTTTTGCAAACTATAACAAAAATAAGTAATTTTGTGATTTTATGGACACCAGAAGGGACTAAAGATTTTAGGCCAATGGTAGCGAACCTATGGCACGAGTGCCAGAGGCAGCACTCGGAGCCCTCTCTGTGGGCACACATGCCGTCGCCCCAACCCCGCCTCCCCCCCGCAGCCCCCTCCACATCAGCATCCCCCCCAAAGAGTCACCCCCAGGTGCGGCCCGGGCAGAGCAGCGCAGCCAAACACATGGCAGCTGGGCAGCAGATGATGCTGTGGGGCACGGGCGGAGGGCATGGCCACCATAGCGCTGCAGGGCTGCCTGGGCAATCTGCAGCGGGCCGTGGATGGCCCTGAGAGCGGGCAGGGTGAGGGTGGAGCAGGGCGGGGGTGGGCGGGATGAGCGGGGGCAGGCTGGGGACGGGGCGGTTTTGGGCACTCTGTCTCTAAAAGGTTCGCCATCACTGTTTTAGGCAGAAAGAAAAAGCACAGACCTACCTTTCATGTTAATTAACTGGGACTTACAAAATGATGCACAATTTGTAACCCTGAAAGTACTAAAGGAGACTTTTAAAGAATGGAGTCGCAGTATCAACAGTGTCAGTCATGATGTCTGCCTCCTTGGACAGACTACTGTGTGTCCAAAAGATGTTATTAAAGAAATGACAGATGTGAAACAAATTTTATCTGACAAGATAGAGATGGTACTGAAAAGCCTAAAGACCAACTTGGAAAAGATTGTCTCAATGGATATACAAAAGAAAAACGAGTAACCCAGATTGTTAGGATCAATATGCAAATAATGCTTACATTGTAAACTGCCTAGACTAGACCAGGGCTTTTCAACCTTTTCACAGATTGTACCACTTTTAGGACATGACAATATTTGAGTACTACCAGTGCTTAGCAAGGTGTAAAAAAAGGGGGGGGGATTTTGGGTTTTACTGATTAAATTCATTTGTTGTTATAGAAATGGCTAGTTTATAATATTATAGAAAAGTAAAAAGTTGAGGTTCAATGTTAATGCTTCTACTGCAACAGAGGAAGTATGTTCTTTTTCCCTTCTCCCCCTCATTTCCCCCCTTTTTCCTCCCCACTGTGTCCTACTATTTGCTTTTGTATTTTTGTATTTTATTCTATAATCTAATAAAATATTACAAACTGTAGAAAAAAAGAAAAAAAGTACCAGTTTTAATTTCTTCTGTGGCTGTTCCTTTGCTGAATCACTTTCCTTTTACACTGACAAATGTATGATGAATTCAAACTTGGCACTTTTATGACTTGTGAACTTCAACTCCCAGAATTCCTCAGCCCTCATTGCTGGTTGAGGAATTCTGGGAGTTGAAGTCCACAGGTCTTAAAGTTGCTAAGTTTGTAGACTCCTGAGCTAGCTGGTTGGCCCTTCTGAGCTTTTCCAATCCCTTCCCTGTACCCTTAAAGACACAGGAATCAAGTGCAAAGCAAGAAAATAAAGAAACACAAACTCCGTTTTTTTTCAGGCGCGTCACGTCACAATGTTGCAATCCTTGACTGAAAGGCTTCGGCAATTGCGAAAAGCTTTAGCTTTAAATTAAGCCTGTTTACCTTCAAAGAAAACTTTCTAAAAGCCACAGACAGACTCAATTAAAGGGGGTAAAACTAATTACATTTGTTTAAAGGGATTAAACCTTTCCTGATGTCTTTTTTCCCGTTCCCCCACCCAAACCACGTTCTTTTATAGCCTCTCCTCTCCTCCCCCCCTTTTTCTTCAGCTCACCTCCAGCTCCAAGCTGCTTCTGGAAGCGCCAATCAGCTGGAGCCCTGCCGGCTCCTGGGGCTTCTGCCAAGCCCAGACAGTCCTGCAGCTGCAGCTGCCTCTCCCTCAGGTTGGCTCACTTTGGCTCATTCCCCTCCCCTGCTACACTTGGC